TTTAAGGTATTAGGGTTTAGGGTTTAGGGTTTAGGGTTTAGGGTTTAGGGACTAATGTGATCCCCACTAGAGGTAGAGTAAAAAACTTTGGCGGAATTATGTCCTCTACTTCTTCAACATGAAGCTATGAACCCTTATAAAAGGACGGGAAGACAATTAGTTGTGAATTCTTATGATGTTTTGCTTGCCAACAAAATTATTCAGCTCCTTGAAATTGTTTTTGTGGAGGTAGAGGCCGAAAAAGAAATCAGAGAGGATGTGTTGGATGTGGTGAGGTGGACTTTATGGAAGTACTACTATGTGCAGCATCCTACATCCACCTAACAATAATAGCATTAGGAGTTCCAATCAGGGGATTTTTGATATAGTGTGTCAGATCTATGGAAGATGTAATAATAGAAATCATGCAGATACCCAAGACCATAATATGGGAGCAACCAGCATGTTGCTCTAAATATTTTGCGGAGAATCTCGCCATTACATCTCCTTTTGAAGCTGCATCGATTGTTGATAGTGGTACAGCCAACCATTTGACAAGAAATCCAAGTATACTCTCCTCCCTTGTCCCTTACTCCGGTAGTGGGTCTATTTTAACTGGATATGGGTCCTCTCACCATATCACACATGTTGGGAATGTTTACTATTCAGTCATTTAAAGGGCCTATCAATTTCGAAAATGTTTTCCTCGTCCATAATTTCGAAGGTAATCTTATTTCTATGTCACAACTCACTAGAGAAAATCATGTCTTCTTTGTATTTACTCATGATTGTGTTTTATTGAAGGACCAACTGTCGTGGATCACATTTGCTAGCGGTTCACAATGTGGGGGGTTCAACATAGTTGATGATGAGTCAAAGAAATTCTAAACTCTGGTCGTGTCTTGTCAAGCCAATAAAGATGCCAATGAAGGGCATCATAGATTAGGTCATTGTAGTATGGAATCTCTAAATAAGTCGTGTAAACAACGGCTCATATCCTCTGATATTGATCTTTATGAGTTTATTTGTCATGGTTGTCTAGTGGTATTGTTTTTAATACTAAAAGAGCTTCTTTGCTGTTTGAGTTAGTGGATTCTGATATATGGGATCAAGCGCAAACTGCATCTCCTTCTAAATCCCTCTCATATGTGATATTTTTTTATGACTTCTTCATATTTACAAGGTCCTTTCATTTCAAGTTGTTTGTTGAAAAGCCCTTTTGTAGGCAACTTTTGTACTTTCATAGTGACAATGATAGAGTAACAAGTTTCCTATCCTTGGACAATGGGTAGAGCTACAAGTTTCCTATCCTTATACTGTATAACAAAATGAAATGGAGGAAAGGAAACATAGACATAAAAATGAACTTGGATTATCCCTTATGTTTTCCACTCAAGTTCTAAAGTTGTTATGGACTGAAGCTGTCCATACAGCCATATTCTTCATAAATAGACTTCTAATTGATGTACCAAACAGAAAAACTCCATATCACACACTGCTTGGAAGAACTCCTGACTATTCTATCTTGAGATTTTGAATGTTGATGTTATGTCCATTGATAGTAGCCCAAGGTATAACTTGATCCTAAAGCAGTGTCATAGTCTTAACAATTTCATTAACAAAAGATACCTAAATTTAAGAATATACAATATGTCGGAGAGAGAGAGAGAGAGAGAGAGAGCAATAAGTTTGAGAGAGAGACGTTCAATGTATTTTCATATGTGAGAGAGAGACTAGCCCGTTATCTTTATACGTGAGAGAATGACTAGCCCGTTATCTTTGTATGTGATATAGTGAGTGGCCCGTTTTCTTTGTATATGGGCATGAGTGTGTACATTCGTGAGAGAGAGAGGTGTCCAATGTTCTATTTGTGTGTGGAAGTGAGAGAGAGAGAGAGGCCTAATGTGTCTACGAGAAAAAAAATACACACAAAAATGACAATTGGTATTACAAAATTAGTAGAAAAAATCACAAAAATCTCCCCCATTTCTTCATCAAAAATCACAAAATGAGCATAGTTTTTTTGTAGAAGTACTGTATCAAAATTAGTATAAAAATTAGTATCCAAAAGAATATCAATAAACAATCGTCTAAGAAATGACGTCTCAATATTCACATCCTTTAATTTATTATATTTTATTTTTTTCAAGGGGTGGCACTAGGTGGCGCCCAGATCCACCTAGGAGCCTGCCTTAGGAATGCCCGTCCAAACCTCACCGCTTAGGCTACCCGTGAGCACGATTAGCAAGTTCCAATGTAATCCAAGCATGGACCACTAGAAGGCAACAAAACTAGTAAACTTCCATTCACTTATGTAAGAGGCTTAAACATATAGATACAAGGATATTCAAATGTGGACTATCAAAGGTGATCCAAATGAGATGAAGTCCACATCCAATTATATCTTCACACTTGCTAGTGCAACTGTTCCCTGGTGCACAAAGAAACCGGACATTGTTGCAATCTCGACTACGACGTCACAATATGGCTTGTTGTCTCGCAGCAAAAGAAGCGATCTCATTGTAGTTCTTGAATCAGCTTAGATATGATGCAATGAAGTGCCCATGTGTAAGGATCTTTTGCGACAACTTGGAATGATTTGTGCGGCCAAAGAGCCGTATTTTCACAAGAAATCCAGGCAACTTTAGGCAGATTATTACCACATTGGCAACGAGATCCGAAAAACAAAGATTGAGGTTGCTTATATCCGTACAAAGGCTATGTTAGCATATACTTTGACAAAAGGATTGGTAGCCAATGTTTTTGCCAAACATGGACATGGGATGGGCTTCAGAGAGTGAGAAGAAGTGATTGTAGTACCTTCGAAGGCCAAGTGGGAGATGTTCGGGTTTGTGGCCTTTAAAGCCCATGAAAGCATATAAATAAAGAATTATAGTGGATTGTAGTGAGAGTGTGTCTTGGTTGACTGACCTAGAGTTGGGCAGTCTATAGCCCTTGGTCATATCCAAAACCCTAACCCTTGGGTATATGGCACTACAGAAGAAGATTTTTAAAGGATCATCTCTTGTTGGAGCCGGAGAGATAGTCCAAGGATAATTAACAGGCCAGGAGAGCATCATGGTCCCATGTGTCCAGATGTGGACCTATGAGAGTGATAGCTAAATCGTCAACAAACTTCCACATGGCATGTATACAAGACAACTGCATACCCTATAAAGGGATATGTGTAAATGTGCATAGAGAGTTCCCCATGCATTATAGTCATATGTGTGTGTGACTTTCTCTTAAAGGAATCCACACTTAAAGACTGTGATTTCACTGTTTATTAGCCAGCTTTGATGAGTTAATCATGAGTCTTGGCATGAGACTGTAGCCTGTAGGTCATGGGTCTTGTTCAGTTGGTTTGAGAAGATAGTTGAGGATCACAGTACTGGGTTGGGTGGAGTGCCCTAACAATCCACTTCTAGAAATTTTGTTTTCAAGTTAAGAATTATTTTTGTGATTTTTAGAAATTTTATGAATTTTTATAGTAGTTTTCAGATGTAAAAAACCCTATAAAGGATAGTGTTCATATTTCTAAAACCCCTGGGGCCTTTTTTTTTTTTTTGAGTGGGACCCACATTTTTTTTGTGTTTCTTTTTTTTTTTTTGGGGGGGAGGGAGGGGGGCAATTAAGCGCCCAGGTCTCAAACATACGGGAAGCACAATGGTGGGACGTGAGGCCCACATGGCCAATGCCCGACGCTAGGTTGGGATGCCTCACATGTAGGTTGAGGTCTCCCACTTGTTTGGGAAATCTCCCCCAAGTTATTAGCGAATAATTTCTAGCTAGAGAACCTTGTCGAAATATTTGAAAAAGATTATATGACCTTATATTGTGGGAATAGAGAATATTTTGTGTTTGTAAAATATTCTTTCAATTGTTAAATTCGACCAAATCGTTTTGACATTGAATTCTTACAATCTTTTGTGAGAGAAATGGAAGTCCTAGTCAAACTAATAGGATGCATTTTGATTGGTCTTATCCTAGGTTGACTAGAAGTGGATGTGGTTCGTAGAAATAAGGGATAATTGATTGTCTTTTTCACCTAACAGATTACCTAAAATTCTATTGGCCAAGATGATTTACAACCATATAAGGCATGCCTACACGCCCAAGCCTAATCGACCAAGCGAGGTGCCAGTTGTGGCGTTGCCGTAGAAAGGCCTTAAAAGGGTCTAGAGAACACCCTATTCTTGTTTTGTGCTCTCAAGCCCTAGATTTGTAAAGGGTACTGCCTACAGAGTTTGCCGACTCAAAGAATTCAGTAAGGCAAAGACGATCAGAGGGCACAATCAGTCAGGTAATCAGATATGGGGTGTATCAATTGCTAAGGGGGTAAACCTTGGCAAAGTCGAGTAAGTTTTCCCAACTATTCTTGGTTTATTTTATAGCCATTATTACTATTAATTTTCAGGAACATTATTTGTATTAGAATTCACAGTAAAAGTTTGTATTCAGCCCTTGGATTGAGTTGTATTTATTTAGCAGATAAAAGAAACATCCTACGTTGTATTTAGGGTTTTTGTTTCTTATTTACAACATTGTTATATGGCACTTGTAAGTGGAATTTAGATATACTAATGAACGAAGACAATTTTTTATTTTACTCCCTAGAATTCACATAGCTATTTCTTTTAATATATGTATATTTGTACTTGACCACCTGACATGTAGGCTGCCTTTTCCCATTACTTGTGGGAGACTTTTTTATTAGTTACCTTAGTTATCAGAACCTTCCACTTGTAGCAACATCTTGATGTTTTGACAATAAGTGTACAAAACGGACACCATATACTAATAGAAACCACGCTTTTCTCAATATTTAGACATGCTCACCGGTTGCATTGTGTACCAAATTATGATGGAGAGCAGAACATCAGGAATTACCATTAGAAACCTGAATGAACAGATATATATCTTGCATCGTTGTCTCACTAGATGGTGAATCAAAACGAACCGAGAACATTTACAAAGAAAATTTATGGCATAAGTATAAAGAATTCAGAATGAGGGTGTACTTGAATAATTCGGTGCCATTGTTGCTCCTTCTCAAGAATAGCCAGTGCTCTCTTCGGTGAAACTATGGGGAACTTGTTTTCCCATGCAACCCAAGCATCAAGAGCAACATAAACGGCATCTTTAGATTCTTTCAAATGAAGAAGCTGCCAATTTCAATTTCTCGACTTTTATTACTCGTTATGTTAGAAAAGAGAAAAACTTGGTTTTCAAGTGGGCATTACGAACAAATCACTTTCTTTGATAAGTATTAGAGAAAAAAACACTACCAAATAAAGAACTTTGCAAAGTTATTTCAGTATAACTGTCCAGATACCAAATGTTTATATGCAATTGGACTTCGAAAAGAAAAATATTTCTTAAGCATGAATAACCAAGTATCAAGTAAATACGCAAACATTACAAAAGAAATGGGAAATCCATCACCTTTACTTTACCCAAACCAGATAAATAGGAAGGGGAAAAGATCAAACTGAAAAGGGCACTCAAAACGCTATTTACCCACCCGAATTATCTATACTTGCCTCTTAAAAGACCAACTTATACTCTATCCTTTCAACCTCTTGAATAAAGTGTTTCTTTATTATGTTCTTGTTTTCTTGTTCATTTTTAGAAACTTAACAGAGTTTTATTAGATTAAAAAATGGATGGACAATTACATCTCCTTCACAAAATTTAAAAGATAAATACTGTAACAGTGAAAATGAGATACCATTAGAGAATACTTGTCAACTCCATCCTTTGCAATAGTATCAGTGTTCTCATGGCTTCCACTTCACGAGGGTGGAAAGAGATCCTGACCTTGGCAACCTACTTTAAAATTTCCTCAAATAGCTATGGAGCCACCACACTTTTCTTGCTGACAAAGTTTATTGATTTCTAACAATGTTTGTATAGGACTCTATCATAGTTTGCAGAGACACCAGGTCATTTAAAGCTGTGTTTTATACCTCATCGAGATGGCTTGGAAAGCTCGCGACTTGGAAGCTTGGGGACTCCCAACGAGTTTTAAAAAAATGGGCGACTCATCATTTCCACATAACTTTAGAGGACTGCCCAGCTTCGCCAGGTCAACTCGATAAGACCCGGTTCGGGACCAGGCCAAGTACAAGCCAATAGGTGAATCGAAGTTTATAATGATGATCATCATCATCCGAGCCTTCTCTCAACTATTTGGGGTTTGTTCAAATGAAGGTTTATATACAGTGCCGCAATTTTTAAAGAAAATAAGTTCATGAATACAGAGACACCCTAAAGCATTCTCACTTTTTAGTAAATGCCAACTAATCAACTGAAGTTTCCCTTTCATATTAAACACCTATAACCATCTAGTCTAATTTCTAATTTCTGTAGCTTATGTTTCCCACTAACGAAATAGCTCCACGAAAACAATTCAGATTACTATAATAAAAAAAGAAAAAAGAAATTCAACACGAAAGATTTGAATACTTGAGCAAGCAAAGGAACAAAAAAAAAAAGGAAAAAATAAAGAAAAAAAAGCAGGTCATGAAAAGCAAACACAAATTAAATACCAGGCAGAAAAATATCACACGACCATAATGCCCATCTTCTTGGACAGTTGTCACAAAAGGGCCCTCGTACTTACTGTATTGATAAGAAATTGTATCTTATCTTTCCTTCTGATGTTCTCTCCAATTTCACTCTTGTGCACATTTCCCATGTCACAATTTAAATCAGGTTGCATTGCTTGATTATAATGCCGGACCTGTGACAGCATTAGAGTTCATTATTTTATTTTTATCATATCAAGTCAAATTTGCATATAAATATGTTCAGGTGAAATAATATTGAAGAAAACATTATGTGTCACATTTTTAGTAGCAAAGAATCAAATCCTCCTTGGCAAACCAAGAATAAAAAATAATTTAAAATGGGATCAGATACAATGAGTGCAGTTACTTTTTGGTTGGAGAATTAACTACACCCCAAACCTTCAGATGTGAAATCACATGGCTGGGGTGCATCATTCCTCCATTCAAAGTGTGTTGAAAATTTTAACAGCCTTTGAATTGTGGAATGCACACCGCAGATGTCAGCATTTGCATCTGAAAGTTTGACATGTTATTGTTTTTCCATTTGTAGAGTAACTGTACCCATTAATGCTATACAATCAGTGATTTTGTATATGACTTTTTTTTATTGATTACTATATGTATTCTGAAGCAGAAAAGAAAGTGAATTCCAACCAATATCAGAAGGTGACCAGTATATTAGCACTTAGGTCCCAAGAATATGTAATCAAATTAACAGGAGCAACTGAACAAGTTTGTCTATTTGTTCTGTATTTTCCTCAAGTTGTCTACACTACTAAGCCAAAAAAGTGAGGTGTCGAATCACCAAGCAAAAAGTAGGTTGTCAACACCACACACAATCTGGCACGAGTGACAGCCACGAAGTTCTAAAAAAAAAAATTGCAGAAGTTCATGAAAAAAAACACATATGCACACATACACACATAAGAAACTGGGAGTAATAACATTAGATTTACCACAACCATCCATATGTTAAAGTCAATTCCAAAAATGTTAAAACACCAAAAAAAATACAGTTTCTTTTAAGTTATACAGCTACATAGTAGGCAGTGTTCAAAAATTTGGCCGCCCGATCGCCTAGGCTGCTGACTACGCGAAAAAATTCAAAAAACGCCTAGGATGTTTGGGAGGGGTCATTATGCGCCCTATCTCTGGGAGCCCACCTAGGCGGGGAAGGCGCCGCCTAGGCACTACTGTTTGGGCGCCCGCCTAGGCGCCCCCCGTGACACTTTGCGGATGGACGGAAAAAAAACCTTGGGTAGGGTCAAAAAATGTAATTTCCCCCCCTTAAAAAGGGGGGAAAAGGGTTTTGGGAGGTATTCTAACCCCTAAAACAAAAACCGTGGCTTTTAGGGCAAGAAAAACCCCCCAAAAACCACTCTTTTGTGATTTATCGAAAGATCGATAAATTTTTTATTTTTTTTATTTCTTCCCAAAACAAAGGCAATAGTTCATGGGTGGATTTGGAGCTTCTAATAGTTGATTTTGATATTTTTAAAGTATTATCATATTTTAAAGAGGGTTTTGATTTTATTTGATCACAACATATTATGTTATGAATCATGTGTTTTTTCCTTTACTTTTTTTTTTTCTTTTACGCTATATTTACATTTTTGTAGTTAAAAGATTGCTTTTTTTGTGATTAATTGAATTTTTCTCATTTGGACAATGAAATTGAACATATATTGTATTCTTTTATGAATAATTGATTCATTTTTTGTACAATGTGTCATGTTTTGATATTATATTATTTTTGTTTTACTTTATTTGATAAATAAATGATTATGTGATATCTTAATGAGTTAAATCTTATGTGAAAGTGAAACTAAGGTCTTATATATTTAATTATTCATTTAAGTCTTAATGGTGAGGACACCCTGTCTCTAGGTGAGAGCATGGGCCCCTAGGCCGCCAGGCACCCAAACCGTTTAAGCGGCCGAATCTACATTTTTTAACATTGATAGTAGGCAACCCGGCATATATTAAAAAAAAGCAACAAACCAAAAGGAACTCTCATGCAATCACATGTGCAAACACAAGGCCACGTGCAAAACATAAAACATCTTGCTCGCAATCCACTTACTCATAACATGCTGCAAGTAAGACTCCAAATGACTAAGTTTACATGCATGAATGAAGTTCTATTATTGAGAAACTACGAGAACAAAGCATAAAGAAACACAAAAAGGGAAATTTTTTGTTTTAATAACACATAAATAGCAACAAGGGTAAAGATGCAATATAAAAATGAACCATGATCCAAACTCCGACACTAGGGCTATAAGAGTCAAGGGCAATGTTCCAAAAAAATGCCCGCCCAGGTTAAAGGGGCAAGGGCAATGTTCCAAAAAAATCCAGTAGTCATGTTTTAAGTCCTAATTTGCACGCATGGATATGCATTTTTTATTATCCAAACAAAAAAAAATACCCCACTTGATGGGTATTTTTGCACCTAAGCAGACGTAGTCCCCTGGGCACCCACCTAGGTACCCTGGCCATCTGCCTAGGCAAGGTACTAGGCGGGTGCCCAGGGACACCCACTTAATCGGTCCACTCAGGCTTGGACGATGTGCCCAGGCCCCCTAGCCTAAGCAAGCACTAGGTGGACTACTTTTTGAATCAATGGTCAATCGCCCCAGGCCACCGTAGCCTGCCTAGGCACGGGGCAGACAACTTTTTGAATCAATGGTCAAGGGGAAGCACAATGGAAAGCAGGTGGAGAGGATGCATTCAAAACAAGTAGCTTAATAAAATCCAAAATAAAGAAAGAACAAGAAAAAAAAATAAAGATTTACGATTTATGAATCATCGTCATCAAAGCCTTTTCCCAACTATTTGGGGTCGGCTACACGAATCTTGATCTGCCATTTCGCTTCATCAAGAGCCATATCCTCAGTGAGGCTATAACTCACCATATTTTTTCTCACTAGTTCCAACCATGTCCTTTTGGGCCTACCACTTGCCATTCTTGAGCCTTCCACTTGAACTAACTCGCACCTACCCGAGCTTGCCTAAGTTACTTGGACAACAGAGTCCGAATGAAAACTATAGGAAACAACCGAGTCTCGCTAGTTCCCATTAGTTTTCACTCAATCGAGTCTCTGCCAAACTTGGCAGAGTCCAAGTTTCGAGACTCAAGCACGAGACTGACCCTAGTCCTTGTTTTAAACCATTCTTACTAAATCAAAGTGGGAGTTCAAAGAAATCACCGCTATTATGGAGATCTCATTTCATAAAGTAAACAGGGAATGCTAACAAGGCATTGAGTTGTTTGAAAGAGAACATTAAAAATGTTTAGGATGGATCTCAATATATATTTATAGACACCAGTGCACATTTTCTTTTGGGATACTCAAGGTTCATTGCTCAAGTGAAAAATGGCTGAAGCAATACATGACCTTGAGACAGGTAACTGATTCTACTGAGGGGCCGGAAGTTAGAAATGGATCCTCATCTTGTTTTAATGAATCTCATTAGTTGGAATATTTGAGGCTTGGGGGAGGTTAAGAAGAAGCGTGAAGTTTTAATGTTAGTTCGTCTCATAGACCAGATGTTTTGCTTTTTCAAGCAACAAAGCTACCTTCTCCCTCAGTTTTTTAGTTAGGGATGTTTGGGGTGGGGGACTAGTAGATTTTGTGGGTATCGATCTTGTAGGTTTTTTTGGTGGTTTGTGGTCTGTGTGGGACCTGACGAGCCTTAAGCTCTTAGGTTCTATGGTGGGGGAAAGAGGTTAAATGATAGCTTTAAATGGGTTTGTTTCAATGTATATGGACCAAACTCTTATGCTTTGAAAGAGGATTTTCTGAATGAAATTTCTACTATCATTTTGGATTTTAGTTTCCTTTTTGTATCGGTGGAGACTTTAATATGATTAGATGGTAAGTGGAAATATAATGTAATTCATCTTTGAACCATTCCATGCATATTTTGAATCATTTTATTATGCGGCACTATCTTGAAGATCTGCCTATTAATGGAGTGCATTACACATGGTAAAATAACAGTGTAGATAATTTGCAAATTGATAATGTGATGACGGGTCCTAAGCCTTTTCGGTTGGACCTAGTATGGTTAGAAGAAGCAGACGTAATAGAGCTTATCTCGAATGCTTGGAAAAATTCAATCTGCCCAAGGTAGTATGGATTTCAAATTCATAAAAGGTTGGTGAACAACAAGCACAAACTTATTTAGTGGAAAACAGAGAAGAAATTCCATATAAAAAAAAAAATTGGGGAAGTGCAGATGAGTTCAGATCTGATAGAGATAGTTGTTTACAATGGGGGAAGTTCATATGTTCAATTAAAAGAAGTGAAAATGAGCCTTATGAATTCTCTTCGTGAGATTTTAAGGTCAGAAGAGATATATTGGATGCGAAGATCAAGAGTTAAGTGGCTTAAAGAGGGGGATTTGAACACGAAAATATTTCATGCTATAGCTAATGCGAGGAGAAGGCAGAACGATATATCAGGAATTCAATTTGAAGGTGTGGATGTGCAGGATAGGTCGGCCTGGGCACTGAAATTCGTTAGCCATTTTCAAAGACTGTATTCTAAAGAATTGCCTTTTATCTCTAGATTGTCTGGCTTGCAATTTTAGAGTTTATCAGTTGAGGAAGCTACTTCTTTGGAAAATTGGGCTACAAAGGAAGAGGTTAGGAGGGTAGTCTTTGCACTTCCAGGAGATAAGGCTCCACGTCCGAATGGGTTTCCTTTAACATTTTTCCAAAGATTTTGGGATTCGACTAAATTTGAATTGCTTAATGAGTTTCTGGATAAGGCTCTTTGAGTAGAGTGATAAACTCTACTTACATAGCTTTAATACCTAAGAAACATTCAATCTTTGGGATAACTGACATTCGGCCCATCGGCCTCTTAGCTTGAATACTTAAGAAACATTCCTTTGGTTTAGAATTGTTGTAACTTTCTTTGAAGCAATAAAATTATAGAACATTGTAAAAAAAAAAAAAACACAACTGGCTAGGGTTTCATCAAAGCATGAGATCCAGCTCCACAACTAAAAACCTCATTAAATAATAAATAATTATGATATAGTTCCCATAGAGGGGACACCCATTGGCCATTTGGGTCTCATGTGTGGGTTGCTCAGGTTTGTCCTTATTTGCCATTTCTTTAAAATAATTATTTAAAATTCATTTTTATGTTAAACAAAATTTTCGAAAATCTACAAAAACTCCCAAAAATTAACCAAAGCATTCTCCATCACAATAACACATTTTGGAACAATTTGAAAAATAATTAAAAGAAAAATTAGCATTCTATGAGGTTGAATTAGATATCGGAGCAATCCACTCAGTTAGATTTGGAATCCAAGGTCACCTTATCAAAGTTAAACTAATGAGTGGCTTAGGACTCTCAAGTTGTTTGTGTGCAAGAAAACATTCTTGAGGCTTTATGGTTGCACGCACATGCACTCGAGACAAGTAGAGAGCGTTCAAAGGAGCCTTGGTCTGAGATCTTATGACCCTCATCAAAGAGGATAGGGTTTCGATTGCTATTAGGATAACCCAACAAAAATCAGAGAGAAAGAGAGAAGACGATCAAGTTTGTAGTTTTTTTTTGGGTAGTTAGATGGAGTTTGCATTGCTCTTAGGGTTTTGAAGTGGAAAGAGAAACGTTTCTCTGATACTGCACAACAAAAATCATAAAATGCTTGTTCAAACCCTTGAAAGCTTAAGTCAATACGAAGTTAACCCCATAGAGTGGAGCAATATACATGTTCCGATTATCAGACTAGAGAAAAAGGAACCAAATGACCAATCAGTCCCAGCCTACACGAGGACATGGACATATGGCGTATAACATGGCCCCCAAAAAATAGGGTATCAAGCACGACATGTTTGTACACT